GATCGAACGGACTTAAATTTTAGTTCAAGAATCCAAAAATTCACCAGTAAATGTTTTGAGCCTGGAATTCTGTCCTCCTGGCTCTCAAAGGAGGGGAGGGATTCAAAAAAATGTTTACTACCGGTTCAGTGGGCGTGGCTTGGTAGGTGTGGCTTGGCGGGCGTGGCAGGGGAAGGTTCCTGCAAAATCCCCCCTCTCTCCCTCCCCACCCAACTAACCTGCTTTCCAGCTCCCTACTCCTGTGCAGGGCAACCAAAGGAGATCCAGCCAATCAGCTGGGACTCAATGGGAGGCGGAGAATAGATGAGGGCGGGGCCAGTCAGAGGCGGGATTTGCCAGTTCTCCAAACGGCTCAAAACTTCTGCTACCGGTTCTGCAGAACCAGCTGGAACCGGCTGAATCCCACCTCCGCCTCAAAAGCCTGTCCTAACTCAGGCCTGGTCCTATTCCTTGACCTGGGTCTCTCCAGCTCTTGTGCCTCTCTAGCTGGATTATTATTATTATTATTATTATTATTATTATTATTATTATTATCATCATTAATACAAACAATCCATCATCCATTAACAGTGTGTTGTCTGGGTACAGATATCTTGTGCAATAACAATGGAAGTTTCCAGCCACAATCGTTACTTTGGTATTCATTCTCTACTCTTAGCTTATTACACACACACACACACACACCTTTTCTCTATATACAATATATTATACACACACATACACACATATATATACATATGTATGTATGTATATATGTATAGTATCTAATTTTATAACAATTCTCATCTTAACTTATTTACGTCTATTAACTTATTTTCGATATTTTGCTAGTCTCTAACTTCCGTATTCATCCTCTAACCCATCGATAAAATTATTCCCATATCATCTCATAGTCGGTTTCCCAACTGGGTCTTTTTACCTTCATGATTTTGATAAATTTCTGCAACAGCCGCTCTCGGTCCTGTGACTTTTCCTGCTGCATGATGATCGAACGGACCCTGTTGTGGATCAGGGGGGAAAAGGGGGGAGACCCACAGACATTGTACATTTCAGATGGTTTCTCATACCAGGCAAAATTGATTCTGGCTCTTTAAAAAAAAACAAATGACTAAAAATTAAAAGTTAATCCTAGCTGCCTCCTGGACAGGAGAGAAAATTCGTTTCTCTCTTCAACTTCTCATCAGGTTCTCCCTGGTGGGAGCCGTTTCTAAGTTTTTATTTTATTTATTTACGTGTATCCCAATTTTGTTATTATTATTTTTTAACAAATGACTCAAAGTGGCGAACACATCCAACACAACTTCCTCGTTCTATTTTCCTCACAACAACCCTGTGAGGTGGGTTGGCAAGAGAGAGCAATTGGCTCAAGGTCACCCAGCTGGCCTTCGTGGCTAAGCGGGACTAGAACTCCCCATCTCCTAGTTATTAGCTCAAATTCACCTCACGAGCTTTCATGGCTCAGGTGAAGCTAGAATTCACAACCTCCTAGTGATTAACCCAAAGCCACCCAGCTGCCTTTCATGGCTCTGGGAGAACACATCAAGACCCCTTTTCTCTCTCTTACCAGTAAGACATATTATTAAAGTGCTCGGTGAACTGTGTCAAGTTGGGGCTTTTCTCCTCGTTCTGTTCCTTTGCCCAGAGTAGAACTTCCGGAATCTGGAAAAGGATATCAGGACACAGAAAAAATAGATTAACAGTCTCATTAGTCTACTGTCAAATTTAGAGGTCTCCAGTCTGGAAAATTTAAATCTGTCAGGTCCCCCAAAATCAAGAATGATCTGTGGAGTTGGTTCCCTTGCTTTCTTCTTGCCTGCCACACCTTCCATGCTTGCAATGCTGCCAGATAGGGGCATTGTGCAGAGGTTCAACGGGCAGCCTCCTTTGGCTTGATCGAGCCACTTGAAACCAGACAAAACAAGGAAACAAAGAGAATGCCTGGAAGAGTGAGTTAGGGATGGTTAGGATAGTACGTTGGAGGCAACTTCCGCGCCTCATTTTTCATACCTCAATCTTATAA